AACTTAAAAACCTTGCAGAAATTAAAATACTTCTCCAAAAAATGTCAACTACAGAGGCGTAGCTAGGGTTTTCAGCACCCTGGGACAACTGAAGATCTTGCACCTTTTTTTTTTTTGTGTGTACCAAGAATAAAGCATGTTTCATTCTAAAATTTCATAACATCAATTTGGTGCCCCTGGATTGCTGCGCCTGGGGACAGATGCCCTCCCTTTCCCCACCCTAATTACAATAAAAAATCTAGCTACACCACTGGTCAATTACAGCATGATTTGAAGAGCATCAAATTTGAGGCTAACATATAACTGTGAAAATAAAAATGGCAAATCATGCTAAAATGAAGCTAGAAGAAGATAAATAAAAGTTATCAATGACCTCAACTACAGCATGATATTAGTAGCACCTAATTTAGATTCTGTCATATTAATGCAAAGTAATTAACACTAATATACAGAAATCACTGAAATGGAAAAAATGCCTGTTTTTTTGCTAATCTTTCATTTATGTATGTAACTGAAAAATATTGAAATGGGAAATGCACAATGAAATTTTATCAAGGAATATTTTGGAATCTTGGAAATTTTTACAAAATAAATATTCTTCTAGAAAACTTCAAAAAAGAATTTAAAATTAAAACTACAAAAACAAAAATTTGCTATGCTTGATATGTAATAAAATAGTTCAAATTAATAAATATTTTCAATACGGTATAAACAACACTTTTTGAAATAAATTCATCAGCGAATATATTTCTGTCATGAGGATCTGCCAAGAAAATTTATTCTCTTTTCATTACAATGAAGAAATAAAATTGCAATTATGCTATGAAAATTTTGCAAAAGCAAAAATTAAATCTTTGATCAGATATAATTAATTACAATTAAAAATACATACCTATTGACCTTATGAAAAATTGGAAGGTTTTCGCACTGTGCTGTAGCGCCGTTTAAAAAGAAGTCTAAAGTGGTTTAAAACTCGCTTTAATATGATTCAGACTATTCAACTACTTCTAATATAATTCTGGGTAAAAATACGTTAATATTTAACTATACACCATGCCCACAAAAGCCCTTATCCGGCTTTTATTTTGACAACTCTTGGTCGTACACATATACGTCTAGTTATTAAAAAAAAAAAAAAAAAAGATTCAAAGATTCACATTTTCGTATTTTCAAATTAAAAAAAAAAAAATAAATAAATTTTGGAGAAACAGGTACGTATTAAATTGCTAAAAAATAAGGTTTGTATAAAATATGAAATTTAACTTTTTATACATTCCTTCGGTTCTTCTTTTTAAAAAAAATTGCTATAAAATAAAACACAAAAAGTTTGACTCCTGTATGGCAATTGATTGAAATACTAAATTTTAAAATCTGTGATTTTTGAGGTCATATTCAATTTGCATTGAGGGGTTGGTTAATAAACCAATTCAGAAATTTGAGGTTAATTTTTTTTTCTTTAAATGTCATTTAACGATATTGTTTTGTCATTTAATAGTGTCTTTAATTTTGTCACATTTGGTACGGCAAAAAGATTTTCACACAAGTAACTTGTGAGTTTTTAAAATATAAACATGTTATTAGTTATTCTCATAAAGTTTTAACACTTTAGAATCACATTCTGGCAATCATACAACAAATTCATTAACTTACAAAAACTTTTAATTTTTAATTAACGCATATATTACGAGTTGGCTATGTGCCAATACTGATGCCTGCCAGTGATTTTAAAACATGAATTCTATAAGAATTTGTGAATAAGATTTCCATTAAAAAAAAAATTGTGTTGACCAATATTTTCCACAATATTCCGCATAGTAACGTTTGTCACTTAACCTCTTATCAGAAAACATTTTATTTTTAGTTATCTACATATTCAAACATTTCACTCTTCAATTTGTGTACGGCCCCTAAATATGATTCTCCACTTCAGTACAAAATATCCTGGTCAATTTTTATTGTTATAGGCGTCAAACCTTTAGCATTTTATTTTCTATAAGAAGCACAAAATTTTCCTAAATATAAGTATAGGGACTGCAGGAGTAAAAAAATATAAAAAGTTAAGATTTCATATTTTTTATAAAATTGATTTCTTTAAATTAAAAAATGGCAAAATATAAGTCTTTGCATTATTTGAAACTTTTGTGATCAACAGTTTCAAAAGTAAAGAACTTTTATGGACATAGTGCATATTCTACAATTTATGTTCTTTGGCCAACTTAATTTTATTTCTTTATAGGAGAAAATTCCAAGTAGGAAATAAAAGCTTTAATTTATTAAAATATTTTTAAACATGACAAAATAAAATTGACAGTTAATGTACACACTGCTGTGATAATAAATTTAATAATGTACCATATGTCAGTACAAAACAAATACAACTATTTACTGATTAAATATTTGGTTGAATCTTCACATAAAGTTCTAAAAATATCTACAGCAGATTAAAACAATTTAGATAAAAAATCTCTAGGAGTAGGGGAATGAAATCTGCATAATTTAAGTTTTATTTATTCAATAATGAAACTTAAATTGTGCAAAATGTAGAACAAATTAGCTTAATTTGCACAACTTATTGCTACACTCTCATTAGTAAAGACTAAAAAATAAAAATGGCAGATATGTCGAAAAATGAGTCTTCCAATAAAACTGGGACATTTGGCAGATATGAAAATACATATAAATTATACTATTAGAGATACATACATAAATAAATTACAAATATATTAACATTATTTATAAATAAAAAAACCTGACATGTTTCCTACATCAAAGTAAAAAGAAAATTTCTGTCATTTTCCACATCTATATTTTTTTATAAATTTTTGCTGTATGCAGGCAGCAGCTAATTCCAGTAAGCATATCTATGATACACTCAAAAGCACAGACAAACCATGTTTTGCTTCACGAAAAACTTACAGTAAGCAAAAAGAATTATGAAAATACTGCATAAATATAAAAGTAATGAATGCACTTTTGGGGAAAAATTATGGTAGTGACTCCCCTCCTATGATGATTATGACATGCCAGTCTTAGAAAGCATGCATGTCACAGAAAAACATAAGCATGTCCTAGAAAAGTATTCCCCTCCTTTTCTAGTCCTATATCCATTATCAAAAACTAAATTAAGATACAAAAGATGAATAAATAACAATAAGAAATTAAGTTCTTTTCAATATTTTTATATTAAATTTTTCAATCCACTATCAAAAGACTGGAATAGATTATTTATATCACAACAAACCATTCAAGGGCTATCTGCTTAATGGCAGTGATATTTTTGTCGAAAACTTTCTAGGTCAAAGTGGATCATATTCATGTTACACATCATGAACACTATGAAACTCTCATTTATTTGTTAAGATCTGAACTATCATTGTTCAGCAATTTCACCACTTGTGGCTTGTACTATCAAAGGAAAAAAATATATACAATTATCATTAATGATTCTCAGATACCAAACAATTTTCTCTTTGTCATGTTCTATTATTTAATAATCAGCATATTTTTAATGAGATTTTTGCTCTCCAAGCAAACTGATAACACTATGCATACCTGCACATTTTTATTACAGTTCACTAAAAATAAGTGTGTTAATTTATTTTCTATGCCCGACAGTAACCCATGAAGATCTCGCTTTTATTGCTTATTAATTCCCCCATTACCAACATATTTTTATAATGTAAGTGAATATTTTTTGTAGAACACAATTTCTGCAACTTAATACACATTTCCAAATATGTATACAGTACAAAGTCTGTAATCCAGACGTCCATTATCCAGAATGATCTATAATCCAGACCTCAAAGCCACAAACTTTTTTTGTAGCACAAAAAACGAAGCAACTTAAACAACTTACATTGAAAGAAATGTTTAATAAAGTAAACAAATAAATATTAAGCTTTTTTTTTTTGTAAATTTTGATACCCTTTACATCATAATTGCTCTTTAGTTCATAAATTACGGTTTCATATTTTTAATTGTATAATTTCTGCATGCCATCTTACCAGATTTAAATTGATGATCTATAATCCGGAATCGCAGAAGTCCCGACGAGTCCAGATTACGGACTTTGTACTGTAATATGTTAACAGGAACTGATACTGGGAGATTGCATCTTGGAGGAGTTGTTACCCATTACAGATGAAAATAATATTTTATTTAAAATCTATGAAATTCTGTTCTCGAAACTCAGATTTTCGATACAATATTTCTAGTTCTTTTTCAGACTTTTCATCTAACCAATTCTAAACCAATTTTAAAATGCTCAATTTAATATAATTTTTGGTTTTTTATGAACAGTGTGCAAAGACTGAAATTATTAAATAAGAAAATTCAATCTCCCATATCTTCTGAATAATTTTAATTCTTAATACTTACCCTAGACAAATGACAGGGTTTCCCACCCCCTTATTAAATTTCTTGGCTTAAACTGTTGTTTGCTATCTCTATATTTTGATCATTATTTACCTATTTTCATTATAATTCATAAAAGTTCAGGCGTTTTATGGCTTCCTGAGATATTTTATATTTTAATCCTTAGACATATCTTATACTGAAACTATAACAAAATACTGTATTGGCCCAAATATAAAATAGCCTTTCATATTTGATATGACTTCGCATTTTTGAAAGCATTCTACAGGTAAAAAGATGGCTTGATTTGATATGACTTTGTAGGTTACTGTATGTTAAGAGGACACATTAGGTCAGGGTCCACTCCTTCTTCAACAGCACTGTATGTTAAAAGGCATTCTAAACAAAAGACAAACTGTCTAAAAAATCATACCTCCAGGAAAAATCAAGTAAATACAATACATTGCATAATCCAGGAGTTTAGTTCTGGCAGATATTTTGGACTGTTTGAAACTGGTCTAATCAAGAAACAAAATGCATACAAAAAATGGTAATTGGTTGCAAATTTTTTATCTCTATTTTGTAATTCATGAAACATCATTAATAAATTCAGGTCTTTATCAGAAATAATTTTTTAAAAATGCATGTTTTTCATAATTCTTTCTTTATTTTTTAGAAACTGTAATACTGATGTTTGCACATCCTTACCTTTTCTTTCTCTTCATACATGTATTAATAGGAATGAAATTACACTGTTTAATGATGATTTGCACTGATTTGATGCACTCAGTTAACAGAATCTAAGTCATTGAAACCAAGATGATGTGCAATCCCACTGTCTGATAAGTAACTTCAGCAAAATGAGTTTCAAAATAAATGAAATCAGTTTTATGATATGGTATGGTATGCTTCAATACTTCCTACAATATTTTGCCTATATTTTTGATAAGGTTTCCGAAGTTGTAACTTCCAAAATTTCTTTTACATTTCTCACAGACAGAAGAACTACACATTATTATCGTCTTAAATTGGTATTAAAATTTAATTATCACAAATGGACTTTACTACAGATATGGGCAAGGAAAGCTCATGAAAATTAAATCCACATTAACAATGAGAAACATTTACTGTTAACCATGCTACATAGCTTACGCATTAAGGACAGCTGCTGATATCACACTGAATTGACAGAGTCGCATCTTTCACATACATCATGCTTAAGACCCTGATTTCTGACAGTTGTAGTTACTCTTTCCAAACTGAGATAAATCATGGTATATGCCTCATCAGTCTCTCCTCACTTTCTCCAGAGACAGCTCCAGGGCTCAAAAGCGACCAGCTCAAGCATAGGTACTTATGGCCATTTTTATACAATGGGGCAACCAAGAAAAAACTCAAATATGTAGCAATACCATTTCATAAAATATAACTGCAAAAAAGAGGGGGGGGGAAGAAGGAAAAAAACTTATTCTTTATGTATTAAAAGCTATTTTGTACACAATTTTTTTTTAATTAATTTTGATTTTGTTCAGTTAAAATTTTGTTTGTTTTGACATTTTCAAACCAAACTATAGTGAATCAGGACTATGTAAAGTACTGCTGTATAATGTTCTTTCTAATGTAAAAGTTAAAACAAAAACAATGAATTAGTTTTGTGTACATAAACAGAAAGAGAGATATTTAATATTAGGTTGTGTTTGTAAGGATGAATGCAATTTCTAAAAAAGGCATTTTAAGGGGGGATTTTTCCTTACTTCTTTTCATAATGAACAACTATTAGCATGTTTAAGTATGTTGTTTTCTATTACCTTATATCATGATGATTTTGTGCTCCACGTGTTATACAGTTGTATAGCATGTACACCACAAAATTATTTAGCAGACAGTATTAAATAAAGTTAAACTTATCAACACAACTACACATGCAATTCAATTACTTTAACAAACAACTGTATAAACCAGTGATGATTTTAAATATTAAATATTTACTTATAAATTTAACTGTATAGGTCCTACAGTACTCATCACAGTACTACAGTACTTATAAATTTATCTGCATAGGTCCTACATACAAATATGCAGCTTGCACATTAAAAAACAAATATACATTTGATAATAGTAATAAAAATAAACTACAATACACAGCATAAAATTTTCATGCTCGTTGCAATACACAGATTCCTTTTATTCTACGGCCGTTCACAATGAACTGTCAAATTTGACAATCTTATAAAAATGCAAGTTTTTGTAATGACATGCTGAAATAAATATTACAATTCACATTTGACAACCAGTTCGCAGATCATAAAATTTTTAAGAAATAATTCTGACAAACCAGCTGAATTCCAAATCAGCTTGTTTCCATAGGAGATCTATCTGCACTTAAAAGTAATAACAGCAATGATAATAAATATTTTATCTTGTATTTTAACATTTCATTTACAATATTAATGAAATATACAATGTTCGACAAAAAAATGTTGAAAGGCACAAGGTAAGCTTTTCTTTGAATTTTAACAATATAAGCATTTTTATATAAATATCTGTTCAAGTGAAAATAATGTTCATTCATTATCTTCTTAATATAATACAAAGAGGACACTAACTTTCAAATGAAAAATAATCTAACCAAATGCATAATAAAATGTAAGTAAAATTACACAAAATGAGCATTATTATACTAATGTGAAAAGATGAAATTTGAAACCAAAATTTCTGTTAATCAAAATTTTAGTCAAATAAAAGCCAAATTTTACTAATTGGAAATAATTTTTTCATTAGAAAATTATTCTTTTTATTGGTAGAAATGTTTGGATTAGTAAAATCTGCTATGATGTTAATATTTTGATTTCAGCATTTAATGATTTAAAACATATTATTTTCTCAAACATTTCATTTTCCACATGCTAAGTGCAACCAGTCCTCGGTAAAAGATATATATTAAAAAAATAATTAATTTGGAAACAAAGTGTAGATTAATTATAAAGATCTATACGATTAAAATGAAATTAACTGGGAAAATGAGGAAAAACAAGATATATAAACTAAAAATTCTAAAGAAAAAAATTACCTAAACTATTTTCTTTATATATATAAAGAAAGAAAAGAAAAAAAAAAGGGGGGGTATTGTCATACAATTCAACACTAGAAAAATATTTTTCAATAAAAATAAATCATGGAGAAGCTACGTTTGGCTATATAAATAGCACCATACGTTTGGCTATATAAATAGCACTAGAATGTACTGTTTTTAAAAAGAAAACTAGGAAATTTAAATTTGATTTCTGTCTTGGCATTTAGTTTGTGTTACAGACAGTTTGACATGAATAAGAATAACTAGATCATCAATGATCTAGTTATTCTTATATTACAAGTAACACATTAACTAAACCACACATAATATTACAAGTAACACATTAACTGAACCACCACCTGATGCAATCTGAAGACTTTTTATCATCTTATTTTACAGCTGCTTAAATGACGTTGACTTCTTGATTTTAACAAAGTATTATAATATTCAGTGCATATGAAGAGAAATTTTTTTTAATACTGAAATACTGCCTGGTTTTAGACAATTTCTTTACTCAGACAGAGTGAAACTTAACTTTTCCCCCCTTCTTTTTAAAGATAAATTACTGATAATTCATCAAACTGAAATTTTTTTTTAAAAATATATTCATTTTCTAAAAGTTATACATATTTCTGCAATTAAAGCCTTAAGATTAAAAAAAGCACTCTCAAAGTTTAGCTAAACTAACACGTCTACATACCATAAATACTTAAAAAAAAGTTTTCAGAATTTATTTTTAATAACTTACAGAAGCAAAATAAAATATACAATTACACAATAAAAATACATTCAGCTTTCTGTCATAAGATAAAAATCACAAAATACTCAATTGAAAAAAGTAAAAATTCTTCTACTAAAGTCAGAATCATTTTGATTCTCTGCACATTTTTTAAAAACAGGAAAAAAATACTCATTCTGAATTGCTAATAAGATTTTAAAGACAGCATTACACTTACTGCACAAATTCAAACAAGCAATTAAAATTTACTTCAAAACTATATGCAATTAAAAATAATACTCATGTAATATGCAGTCAAAAGAATAATTAAAGGATCAATATTTAACATTTGATTAAAATGAGACTCATTAAATTCTATTTTTGATTAAAAAATTTTCTCAATTTAGGTTTATTTAATAAATTTAAGAGAAAATACAATTACCTGAAAACTTAATAGTTTTGCCATAGACAATGATATATAACTAAACATGATAAAAGATTGATATTCTGGGAAAAAATTAATACAAGCACTTGGCAACTGCATACATGAAGTATACATTTATGTTGCTGAAACAAGATGTTTAATGTACAGCACAATATTAGCTTACTTTTACTTAAAAAACAAATATTCATATAGTACATAAATTATTTTGTTCTTCAAACTTAAGCCATCTAAAATAATTAATTTAATTGCTCAAAATTATTCTTAAATTTATGAATTATTATGGAATACATTTCATTCAATAACAAAAATGGAAGCATATATTTAAAATTTAATATTATTTTCTATTTTTTACTGTAAATTGTTGAAAATATATCTAAAAACATTTCTAATTATTTGTATAATACATCAAATACAACATTTATATCTTCATACAAAATTCAGAAAATTAGGGTGTAAAAAAAAATTACAAAAAAGGTGTAGAAATATAATTTCTTTGCAGAAGCATTTAAAGAAATCATGTAATTTCATAAAAGATACAGAAATTCAAACTGATTTTAAATGGTTTATATCAAAATACTAAACAGAAAAATACTGGCATGGTTGAAACTTAGTGAATATGTATTACTTAAAAAAATTATTGAGTGGCAAAAGAACAACATAAATAGCCTTTGAAAAAAAAAAAAAAAAAAAAAAAAAAAAAAAAAGGAGATAACACAAAAGAGAACACTTTTCCTTTCCTAGATACTGAAGTATCTAGTTCAACACCAAATGAAGAAAACTACAGAATTCTTTGCTCTGCTAGCCTAACGATAGGTGACTGTATTTACCCTTAAGCTCAATATTTTAAAATTACTTATCTCAAACTCAAAATATATTCAAATCTGAATGTTAATGAATTAAATACTACCTACTGAATAACTGCAGTTTTACAATAAATCAGCTTCTTTATTGGTTTGCCCTAAAACACATCACATATAATAGAAATTAGCTAAATATATACAGGTAAAAACCCCTAATCTTTATAAGATGACTTACTGCCTGCAAAATATTAATTCAGAAAAAAAAATTTTAAACCAATACTTGCATATGTGACTGGTGACAAATTTAAATCTTTTGAACAACACAATGTATTTACAGTTTTCAAGTTTAGAATTTAACCTCAAGCTCAGACTTAAATATGTTGAAATTCAAAACACAAAATATGTTGCAACTAAATTTGCCACTGAATTACGATATATTCTTAAGATTAATTTTAGTCCAAAATTATCAAATGAAATATCTATGATAATAATCAAAATTACGTTTTACATGAAATGAAAAATTATGCATAAAAGTAAACATAGAAATAAATTATAAAGAATATTTTAGATAAAAACTTAATTATATGATTATAATAATTCAAACATAACTTTAAATGATATTTACATAATTTCTATAATCACTAAATGGTTGTAAAGTTTATTCAGCTCCTAAGCTGATATAATTATAAATTTATTTCACCAATTATGCATATAGATAACTATTGTTTACTATGAAACATAAATATTATTCTAATGAATTTACTGAAAATTTATTGCCGAAACTGAAAAAATATCAGAGCTTTAGTATTGCTATATCAATACACATAAATTTATAAAATTGTTTCTGTGCACATGCATTAAATTATTTTATGTTTTATACTTTTTCATTCATGAAACTCATTTTTACTCCTTAACAAAGAAAAGTCTTACATCTTTTAGTCCATTAATGAAATTATATTAAAATTATGTTAATAAAAATTAAACGTATATATAAAATTATTTAAATATACAAGGTGGTGTAAAGCTCTGTTTTTCCACCAATACTTCTGAAATTTTAATCCTGATGTCATGAAATATCCATAACTTTATTTATGTATAAAACTGCTCTGAAAATTAGGTGTCAGAAATAGATTTCTTGGTCACTTGTAAACATATATTACCAAATTAATGCAATTTTAAGGAACAAAATGATTGAATATTTTACTTGGCAAGCAAGATATAAATTATATAATATAATTATTTATGTTAAACACCTCACTAAGTGCACATTTGGCTCACATATATATTTACATTAAGCCCTCTTTTCAACTAGCAAACTTTTTTTAGATAAATACGATTTAGATGAATTTTAGCTAGCTAACACTGATGCCAAGAATATATTTTATAAAAGAAGTGTTCTTCTTAGTGCCTGTGAATAAATGTTCACTGAAAATATAGAACACTACTATATCAAATACAAAATATATAATAAAACTACCAATTATAAATCACCATTTTAATTCAAGAATGAAATTTTAAAAAGCTGATCTTACTGTAACTTATTTTTACATGTAAGATGCAAGACTAATTTGGCAAATTTGTCATAATTGAACCTTTTTTTATTTAATACTGAGTCCAAGCCCTAGAAATGCTTTATTTGCAAATATTTGCCCCCAACATTCCTCTTCATTCAAAGAACACACATCAGTAAGAATAGAAGAGCCATTTACTTACAAGATATTCATATTAAGATAAAATGCAACAAGCAGAACAAGACAAAAGAATACATTTGTACCAACATAAATTCTGAAAGACAGTTTATAACATTAGAAACAATTAAGCCATAAAATAAATCAAAAATAAAAATCAAGTTTGCTTAGTATAATTGTGATTATATTCTTTTTTACACTTTATACAACTTGATATACATCAACTATAAAACATCACATATATATACATTCTCACTAAAATTCACATTTGCAATTATTTCAAAGCAATTTCTGTTTCTTAAACAAGAAAGCTTTTTTTTTTAATCTCTCTTAAAAATGTAACAATTTTATTTCACCAAAGGTGGTATGAATGTAGCAGCTTTTGAACGACAGAGTTCAAGTAGTTCAGGCCACTGGTGACATATTATGACAATCACAAGAACAAGTAATAAAGTAGTAAGAGTTCGAACCCTGCAAGAGAAAGAAAAAATAAAAAGCAATGAACTTGGAAACATTCGGCAAGATTTTAAATTTCATTCAAAATGCATTTAAAGAGAACATCAATAATCATAAGAAACAATATGTTGCAAAGCAGAAATGATTATTTAATAATGCAAGTTAATTCTACTGGCTGCACAATATTTTTGCTCAGTTAATATTCAGGAATAAATTCTGGAATAATGAATAAAGATTACTTCTAGAAAGTAATCACACTGATCTCAAACTATTTGTAAACAGTTTCAGATACTACAGGACAGAAATCAAATATAGTAAAATCATTTGCATCAGATATTCAAAATTCTATTTTAAACACGTTTTTCAATAACTTTTTTTTTTGTCCTGAAATTTCGTAGTATAATTGCATAACTCAGGTTAATAAGAACACTGTAAACATTCATGACAGACAAGCTCATCAATTTTGATTTTTCACAGTCAGTCAGTCAATTTTGAATTTTTCACAGTCAGTCAGTTTCTTTGCAACAATTCTCCTAACTTCATATTCAAAAAGGTGTAATCATTACACTTTAAAAAATAAATACTATTTCTGCTGACACTCAATTTAAGTTTTTTGTTCCCCATATGTCATAATATTCTAAATCAATACCTTTTTATTACTTTCATTTTAGACATTCCTTTAAAAGAACACTGAACGCACTGTACTCAATCAGAAGAAAAGTATGAAACTTACAAATGCCAAAATATTTGGAATAAGTAATACAATGAAAATAATAAATTTTAACTACTGGGAGGTCACAGAATCTTTGTTGCAAAGATATGGTTAATTCTATATCAACACAGGAACTTTTTATGAATGAAATCATTTACCATGCTGTAGAAACTAATACTTTTAAAATTTTCATACATAATCAGTTAGATATTATGAGATTGAAATGTTCAATAATTTGTACATCACATATGGCATAACAGATGAACATTATTTAAATTCACTTTCAACAATAAGTAATAAAGAATAACAAAAATTCTGCAGTTTAATTGCAATCTGAAGAACTTCATTTATTAAATTTAAACAAAGCAAAACAATAAGATGAAATATAATATTACAATTTGGCATTTCATTCATAAAAGTATAATTCAAACATTCCGATGCACGTGCAAAATGTTCCAAGAATAACCTTAGAAAAAATCTAGTGATAAGAAGAATAATCTGTACCAAAATAATAAGTATCCGATACAGTTTATACATTAAAATAACTGCTATTTAGTTTATTCAAAAGACAGCAGAGAAAATAAATAAAATAATAATAATACATTAAAAACTAACAATGCTCATAAACAAAACAGAGAAGCACACAAGCATTAACCCATTAACTGCCAAAATTACAAGGAATGTTTCTTTTCTCATGTAAATAATAACAAATATTAAATCAAGCGTTTATAACATAAATTTACATTGAAAATTAAAAAAATGGTCTTACTTGTGGAAAAAACGAGTGTTGCATTCACGCAACATCAGCGGAATAAGACTACGGATGTTTAGTGAGTAGGATTGTACTCATGTGATGTTTCTTTTGAGTGGAGCGCAGGATTACATTTTAGCTGTATAACGTTTTATAAATCTACAAATCACTTTACTTGTAATTAATTTAATATTAAAGTATACATTGTATTTCTTTTACAAATACAGATTATTTCAACTTGAAAGATTCAAGCATGAAAAGCTTGATTACAATCATGATGTAAAGCTACATTACATACTTTGCATCTGTAAACTGTCTGGCTATGATACTCTTTACAACAAAGTCTTTTGTTATCAACGTACTTTACGATAAAATGTCTACCATCTCCACGCAATGGTTTTTGAATGCTGAATTTACTAGGTCTTCCTGTTGCTGATCTATTTCTGGCTAATTCTACACTCTCAATAAGAGTTTGCAAAAGGAATAATGCATTCTCGTGTCTGAAATCTAAAAGACACTTTATATCTCCAGTAGTAAAAAGTGGTGATATTTAGTAAGTTTAGATACGGTCTCACCTCATATAATTTATCAGTATTGTCAAATGCAAATTCTGCTTCATATTCCTGTACTGCAAACGTGATATCGATTCTCGTACAACAGGAAACATAAATGTCCTTATCAAAAGACCAATACATTTTTCTTGAGGTAAAGAATGATATCCTGTAAGCAATAATATTCCAATAAATCTTCTCATATAGGCTTCAGATGCAATAAATTCTGGGCTCTTTCTTTTTTTTTTTTTCTGAGCGTATATATTTGTCTGTTCAATGAGAAGAGAGTAAATGTTTATACCAAAAAGAAAATCAAAAATCTGCGCACTAGTTTTACCTTGTATTTTTGTCTTTTATAATTTCTTTTTCTATCTCTTCTCTTTCTTTCATGTTCTTCTCTTTCCTGAGACATAACTAACAGTTCCTTTTTTTTTATTATCCACTTCAAAATTCACTTTCAAGATTTCAGTCTTCTGCTTTTTAAACTTTTTAGCATGACTATAACTGTTTTTAGAAGGCTGAAACTTACTTCTTACGTGAATTTCAACTTCCCCCAGCAGTATCATTTGGCAAAATATCATTATCATTATTTAAAACATTGCCATGCCTTCTTTGTCACTAGCTTCTGCAATTTCTGGGGGAACAACAACAATATCAGTTTCATTCTGGTCATTATTAACATTATCATTATCTGTTTCTTCATCAAAAATTTGAAGGGCTTTCATTAGATCCTTTAGGAGTAAAAACAACATAACAGAACTGAAAACAGAAAGAGTGACTACCTGCTAACATCAGAAACACTGACTATTGTATGTCTGATAATTGACTTGATAAAAACGGGCCCATCCAGGAAGTAGATTACGTTTCCGTCTGTGTCCGCTAGGGGCGGGGCTAGCGCGGCCATCTTGGGGTCAGAGCGTTGCGCAGCTCAGTCTGCATCTAGCCGTGCTAGTGAGAGGTTCGTGCTGTGCTCCGTTCAGATACTGTGACGGTTTGAAATGTCTGCGTTAATTGAAAATCCCGCGAGCTGCGAGGTGCGCTCAGTAATAAGGTTTCTGACTGCAAAAAACTGTAAACCGATAGAAATCTATCGGCAGCTTCGTGAAGTGTATGGGGACAACATTATCACTGAAGGTGGAGTGCGTCAGTGGGTCATAAGATTTCAAAATGGCCGAACCAATGTTCACGACGAAGATCGAAGTGGGAGACCCAGCATAGTGACCGCCGAACTTCTCGAAAAAGTCGATGCTAAAGTCCGTGAAAATCGAAATTTCACAATAACGGAACTTTCTTTGAGTTTTCCACAAATTTCGCGAAGTTTGTTGCACGAAATCATCAGCGAAAAGCTTGGTTACCACAAGTTTTGTGCAAGATGGATTCCAAAAATCTTGACAGAGGACCACAAAAATCAGCGAATGGCTGCAGCGTTGAACTTTTTGGACGCTTACCATAAGGATGGTGACTCTTTACTCGATCGCATCGTTACTGGTGACGAAACATGGGTGAAACATGTGAACTGTGAAACGAAATTGCAATCAATGCAGTGGGGGCACACAAGTTCTCCCCAAAAACCCAAGAAATGCATGCAAACAATGTCGGCAAGGAAGATGATGGCGACTGTTTTTTGGGACAGAAAAGGTGTAATTTTGGTGGACTTCCTGGAAAGAGGCACTACAATAAACTCTCAAAGGTATTGCCAAACTCTCCAAAAACTCAGAAGAGCAATTCAAAACAAGCGCAGAGGAATGTTGAGCTCTAAGATCTTGTTGATTCACGACAACGCCCGGCCCCACACGGCAAATGTCACTCGTAAAGTTCTTGAATCTTTTAAGTGGGAGTTGTTTTCCTCCTCATCCGCCGTACAGTCCCGACCTGGCACCGAGCGACTTCCACCTATTCCCAGCAATGAAGAAGTGGCTGGCTATGCAGCGTTTTGATGACGACGCACAGCTGCAAGAAGAGGTAACGAAGTGGTTGAAGGCGCAGGCGGCCGAATTTTTCGACGAAGGAATTTCCAAGCTCGTACATCGCTACGATAAATGCCTTAATTTGTATGGTGACTATGTAGAAAAGTAGTATTTGAGTGTGGCTTTCATCTGTATATAATAAAATTTGTTTCCTATACTTTGTTTATTTTTTTATTCCAAAACGTAATCTACTTTCTGGATAGCCCTCGTAGATCACTTATAAAGACAGCAATTCTTTCGTTAAATATTTTCAGCAAAAATACCCAGTCGAAAATTTTGCTTAAAGTATGAGATTAATTATTATAAACAAATTGATTGTTGAAGGCAAATATTTTTTTATAGAAATAATCTTCATAATATTCCCCACACAAAATGATCTGCTGGTATAAAATATCTTAGGTAGTTATATTTATATACCCATTTATTTTGACCGTTATGTCAACGCAACACCAGTGGCTAATGGGTTAACATTTTATGGAATTTGGAAGGCTAAAAAAGAAATGCAAGCCAAAAGCCTCTTTCTTAATCCTATTTCACTATTTTTGATTATTCTCTTCTTCATGCTCAAATGCATAATCTGCTAGTAATTGATCTTGAGTTTCTTTGGATTTTTAAAATAAGGGGGAAAAAAAAGCAAACCCCTTCCCTTTAAAACACTGCCATGGGTTCTTTGCTTTAGTTGTGCTTTTAAGATTCTGGTTGAATTTTCATTGAAGGGAAACTTAACGTTCAGGTAACATTTTCATGAATGCTTTTAATTTTAATATCAAACAGAATTTGCTGACTAGGGCTGTCAAAATTTTATGGAGTGGAGATCTTGAGATTATATACAAGAGAAATTTTGGAGCATTTACACAAAATAATTTTAAAATGCTGAAACCAAAGCAGATAATCTAGAAGAACACAGAGTTATGAAAAAATATGAGAAGGATTATTTAATATAAATAAAATAAAGATATTATTTAATATAAATGATAATTTAATAAAGATATTATTTAATATAAATGATAAAGACAAACAAAAATCTACTTGGAATAAAATTTAGACAGCAGTTTAGATATATCTACCATATTAAATATGTAAAATGTATGTGCTATGTACACAGATAAATTACTTATGAAAATTGTTTGAAACAATATATAAGAATTCTTCAATAAAAATTAAGAAAGTTTGAGATCTATAATAATTAACATTATTATACTTAAATATATATTTGCTAATTTATATCTATTGCAAAGGCAGACTTGAAATTTCAATAGCAAAAAAAAATTAAATGTATTGGAAAAATAGTTTTAAATTTAATTAAGAATTTTTTCTCACTTTGATATAAATATTAGAAGCTATTTATTTATACTTCTATCATTAATAAATCCATTGAAAAACGTGTAGGCAAGACCTCAACCACAATAGCCAGAAAAGTTAACAGTTTGCAGAGGTAAATTGAAAGGAAACGCAAAACAGTAATAGCAAGAATGCCTAACAGCTATTTTAATTATCGAATTAAATATTACAAACCTACTTTGGTAAACTGAATGGAATTCGACAAAAATTAACCCAAATGTCACAAAATTTTACATAAAACTGCTAAATAAAATATACTTTTTGAAAAAAACCTAACACGCAAATTACTTTTCTAATCCACTTTTGAATTCTTCAACAGCATGATGAAATAGCTTACTTAAAATGAACCAATAAACCTCTGAATATTACAATCAGCTTACCTGGTTCGCAAAAAAGGCATTATTATGTTTGATAAAGTAGCTACAAGCAGCAAAATGACTTGGAGAACTGTCAGTGCTACATTGATTAATTTCAGAAGAAGTGCTCGAGCTTGTGAGTTTTCAACTGCATCTAAAGTGACCAACTGTTGAAGATGCTGATGTTGTTGGTGCTCCATACGAGAAATCTGCAGTTTGAAGAAAGAAAATTCCTGAATCATACAATATTCAGAAAATTTATGTTACATTGAGTTACATGTGTGATGATAAATTATTTGCTTTCTCTATCAAAGTCAATTCAATATTTAAATCTCTTCAATTGAAATTATGTTTTCCATAATTCATGTGGTTTTCCAACATCTCTTCTGTTAAATAATAAAAAATTTCCATGTATGTACATATGTTCCTCCAAACTCTGGAAAAATGGCAGTCAACAGATTTTCAACACATACAGTCCTCCACTCAAACATGTACACATCAAAGTCTGAATTTTGATTTTTTTTTTTTAAATTTATTTTGCATTCAGGGCAAATTGAATGAACTTTTAATAAAAAGTGCAGCAATTTAAAAGCTTTGTATTGCCATTTTGCAAAGCATTAGATATTTATGTTTCAAATTTAATTAGAAAACTCAGTGATAAAAAAAGAAGTGTGTTGTCACGTAGCAAAATGCAATATATTTGCCTTTCAAATTTCATTATATTGTAGAAATTTGGCAGCACTTACAGCCATCAAATTTTAAACACATAGTCATCCACCCAAACCTGAAGCCTAAATTTCAATTTTTAAAAAAAATTCTTAAAATTTACTTCATACTGCACGAGAATTTAAGGGCCTTTTGAATAAAAATTCAAAGATATGAAAGTTTTGTATTGCCACTCAGCAAAGCATAAGATACTTATGTTTCAAATTTAATCATAAGATTCTTGACTTAAAAGAAATATATTGCCATTCAGCAAAAAGTACAATATACTAGTTTCCAAAAATTAAGGAAGAATCACAAAAATAGTGATAACTCATCCAACATACAAAAATAAGCCAATCCATATAAATTTTGAATATGTTGTCAAGTAACAGTTGTAGAGTAAATCCGCAATATGCAAATTAGTGACACTGCAATCGGAATGCATCATCTGTGAGGAGCATAAAATTGCATGTTTGAGAGAAAACCTGTAAATTTCACTCTGACGCTGAGAAATCTGGAATAGCCAATTTGTAAAAATGACCTCGAGCTATCATTTGCCTGAAAACTGTGATGCACAGCTATTGGGAGACTAGAGGCAGGAAAAAGTCAGACAGAAGTACCCAGATAGCTAAAAGTGACTCCTTCTGTACTTCAAAGAATTTCGCAACAATTTCTAACTACAGATTCGGCATCCAAGAGATTCAGCCAAAGGACGGCCAACAGCTATAGCAAGTGCTGATGACTGATATTTGTTGTTATGCATATGAAGGAATAGAACCACATCTCCGATTCAACTCAGATCCTCCTTTGCTGCAGCCCCCAGAAAGTTGGTGTCAATGTCAACTGTGCATAGAAGGCTTTAAGAAGGAGGTCTATGCGAGGTGACCAGCCATTTGAGTGCTGCTCACATCACATCCTAGAAGGAAACGTTTCAAGTGAGCATGTCAACGTATCCACTGGAAGGCTGATCAGTAAAGGGTAGTTCTCTTTATGCATGAATCCAGTACTCTTATTTGATTTGGAGAGAACATGAACCCATTAACATCCATCACACATTTGTGAAAGAGATGCATTCAGAGGAGGCAGTGTCTAGGTTCGGGATCGTATCTCTTTGGGTGGACGCATAGACCTCCATGTCTTTCCATGTGGAACTGTGAATGCTCAGGACTCTAGAGATAACATCTTTGATGCTTATATGCACCCTTACGCTGGAGCAACAGGTGATGATTTCCTGCTACAGGACGACAAAGCTAGACTGCACAAGGTCCGCATCATAGATGATTATCTTCAGCAGCAAACAATTCAGCACATGGAGTGGCCACTTGATCACCACGGAGGGTGGGATCTAAATCCTATTTTGCATGCTTGGTATGCTTCAGGAAAACATATAGCTACTCTCAATCCTCCTCTTCAGGCCCTTGCCACACCACTTTCAAGTGCTTTGCAAGAGCAATGGCTCTCACTTTTTATGGAACTGATAGAAGTATAATTGGCAGCATCACACATCACTGCATGTGCTGTACTGCTTCGAGTTGAGATAAAACTCCTGAAGGTAATTTTCCCATACTAAACTGAAACATCCTATTTGTTTATTTTATACATATCCTAATTTCTACAACACCATATTTGTTTGATAATTTCCTTTCATGTAATTTTATATCTTACTATGCATTGCATACTACAGTCCAGTTTTATTAAGTTCTACATGTAACTTTTTGAGTAATCATCATTTTTGCGATATTTCCTTTATTAATGATAACCAATATATTTGCTTTTCATATTTAATAACAGAACTCAGTGATTTAAAAGAAATATGTTCAACTACCCAATACAAAATATTTTTATATTGGGTACTAGCAGAAGTACCCGATGCCAGTTAAGTTAGATTGAGAGCAATGCATCTAACAACAGAGAGAACGATACCGCTGTAATCCTTCTCTAATAACCATGCAAAAAGTACGATTCATAGTCATACATATTTCAGTTTGATGCGATATGAAACCCACATAAAAATTTCTATGGAAAAATAAGCTAATTATCTCTCATTATATCAGCAACAATGGATTACAGTTTTTAATGACTTTTATCTTTCTAATCAAATGGTCGTAAAAGCTCAAGTTCCACCCAATATTTCACCTATATTCAATTTTAGTCGATTAGATGTGGCAAAAAATTTATCATAATTGAAAAGAAATCAATAACACAAACAGACATTCTCCTTTATATGTATAGATTTTGTAAAACTTACAAATTTTTTATTAACAAACTCTACGATTTGAAAGCAACATGTTTCAAAATAAAGCATTTTTATCTCCAGTGCACGAGGCTGTTGCCACTCAGAGAAATTAATGTGAAAATTAGTGCTTTCAGAGTTTTTAATTAATATTTTGGCTGACTAAAGTCATACAAAGATGGGAATAGTCGAAATGGCTTTTCACGAATTTCACAAATTTTTGGAATTGGGAATAATGTACTTAATGTTTGGCAATGCTATTTTTATTTCATCGTAAAACTTAGAAATTTTTTATTAACAAACTCTAGGATTTGAAAACAAGCAATGGCAACAACTTTTGAAATAAAGCAGATTTTCATCTCCAACTTGTGAGAAAAATGAGGGTTAAATTACCGTTTTTCCGAGTTTTTAATTAATACCTCTAATTTTAGCTACATTTTTTGGAAAAAAGTGGATGTCGACCTTTTCCAGGACCCAAAAAAGAATTGCAGGAAGTTTGGTGATGACAGCTATAGTAGTGACTGAGTTATTAGCCTACAAACACACAGACTATGTATATAGATAAAACTTCCATATATCAGATTATTACCACAATGCAAAGGTAATATATTTAATTGTTTTTTAAAATTTATTCTGTTATTAATTAAAAAACTAAGTGATTTAGAATTAATAAATGCAGATGCATTTCAATTATTATTAATTACTAGCAGAACTCATGAAATTACATTAGCTGGATACATTCAAATCATTATACATACATACAAAGATTAACATATTTCCATTAACATATTTTCAAAAGATTAACATATTGTTGCGTTCTATCTCACTTCTGACACCAGTTGTTATGTTATATTCTTCCTCCACGTTCGTACGGGGTTTGTAGATTTGGAGTGAATAACGATGACACTTGATGAAGTATCGAAACACACTTTATTTAGCAAATACTGATCAGGACAGCTCCAAAGTCCCATTTTACAGTCGTCAAAGATCTACTATAAACACGCTGTAGCAATCAGCCACACAGCCTTCACACTGTCAGGCAATAACGTTGGAGACAGCTTCCTGCAAAGCACCTGACTCTGCCTTCCGGAGTACAGCTCCCGACTCTGCTTGGTAGTTCTCGGAACTCCACGTACTCTTGAGACTCTCCATGCTACAACTCGCGAAGCACTCGACAACACACGAGCACAGCTCCCGACTCTTCGGTTCCGTTGTTTCCGGAGCTCAACATGCTCTCTCGACGATGCACTAACCGCGATACACTAACAGACTCCTTCGGTGCACTCGCCGACCCACTCGGCACTCACTGCCCGGCTGTCGACCCAATAGACTTCGCAGGGATCGACTCGCTAGACGAGACACTAATTCAATACTAACTCACACTCTAGACGAGGCACACACACACTCGCCCTCTCAACGAGGCACATTCTGAGACACTCTGCGTAAATTGTACATCAGAGTCATGAACAGAGCCCGTGGTGGCAGCGGTGGGATAGAACACAACACTTGGTGTCAGAAGTGGGGTTTGTGAGTGAATGCTAACGACTCGCCTGCAGAGGAAAGCCATTGAGGAAGAAACGAAGACTTTGATGGACTTCTTAGCCGAGATGAGAGCTGAAATTAAAGCCGGATATGAAGAGATAAAAGCTGGATATAAAGAGATGACAGCCAGACTGGAAGAGAAGAAAGTCCGAAGAGAAGAAATAAATGTCAGCCAAGAAAAGGTGCAAAAACAACTCAGGTGAAAGTGGAACTTACAGAAAAAACTGGAGGCATAAAAGACGATGTAGAAATGAGACAAATGGCATCTGAAGAATCAAAGGATGAAGAAATGAAGGAAGTAGCTAATGAAGTGTCTGAGAAAGATCCCGAAATGAAGGATGAAATATTTAACAAGATTAAAGACAGAGATCAAAAACATGAAGAAATACAAGATGGGAAAGAAGCTTCTGATTCACAAGTGCCTGAAGAGGAAGAAAGTGAAAATGTGACTGTTAAGTTCGTCAAAACTGATAGTGAAGTTACGAAGTCGGAGGTAATAAGTGTTGAACCATCTGAAAGTGCATGTGATGCAGAGATGGAAGATGCCGAGATGCAGCTTAAGCTGTGCGTTTCAGTACTGCAAGAAAATTCACCCACTTCATAAACATGGTGTGTGCCTCATAGTGCAGATTTTGCAAGCAGCTTTGTGATTTTAAACCCGGATACTTCTGCTTGTAAAGGATCAGATTCTATTCGCAACTCTGGTGCAAACATCGGAAGTGGTTCCCA